AAGATCCCCTACGAAAGGAATCCAAAAAGAATGCAATAGATTTTGACTCTTGTCGGAAAACAAAATAGTGGCGATTACAAGTAAAATATAAATTTTAGCTTGTAACACAACTTCTTGTTGTGTGGGGGCAGAGTTATTTTTTAAAATTTCATATAAATTCTCTAGCCAGGTGATCCTAACAAAACCTCTATTTTTATCCGCTTCTGTAGATTCCACCCCCAAGTTTTCTATGTAAACATCGTTTGTTACTTCAGTAGGACCGTCGACTCGGAGACCAAGTAACATATTTGCATCTTCAAGCGTTATTGTGCATTCACCTGTTGGGAAGTGAAAAGTGTGTGTTTCCGGTCTCCATTTCTCCAACAGAGCCACAACTAAGCTTGAGTCGATTTTGAGACTATTTATTTTTGATATCTGAGCAAAACCTGCTATTTCAAGATACTCTATTCTTCTCTCACTCGCTTGAATGGGAGCATGAGAATGCACTCTAAACCTTGGGGCATTAGTCTGCAACTATATTGAACCAACAAAATGTAATCATTATTTTTTATATGAACTAATATTTAACCAAACAACTATGGAGATGAATAAAACTTACACTAGCTTGAATATTTTGTTGTGTTCCACGGTGTTCATCGCCCATCCACAACAATGCCATTATGATTGAGTATTATGAATGCAAGAGAGTAGTTGATTTTTAATGCTTTGTGTTTAGAAATGCAAGAGAGTAGTTGATCTTAAAAATATGTGTAGAAATTTGGTTGTATTAAATTTGAATTTAAAGAAAGTTGGTAGTGTAAATGTGAGACTTGCATGAAATGACAATTGCATGGCATTGATAACATATACTAGCTCTTACACATTTGCATGCATGCAAACCTAAATAGAATAGCTCTTACACATTTATCTCGTGCATGCAATACAATTTCTCCATGGAGCATCATACACTCACCCATCGAGTGGACGGATTCCCAAAGCACATGAGTAAGCTCGTCCATTGAGTGGACGAGCAAGGCCTAGGCACGAGCATGCTCGCCCTTTGAGTGGGCGAGCTCAAAGGGCCAATATTCTACACTTCATTTTAGTTTGTCTTATATAATTGTTTGTATCAGATTATATGTATCATAAACACTCCAATATCCTATCACACTCCAATTCATTAACAAAAACTTATTTTTTACACTCCAAAATGTCTCAAAGAAATATAATTCTCACATGCCACTTCAATGGTGTTGTTTCAACAAATAGCCCTGTTGGATTCTTGTTCAACAACACAGATACCTATGCCTTCAAAATTCATGTCAGTTCTGTTTTTTTTCCATTTTAAAGATAGAATGGAAAAAAATTAGCACGGTGCGTTGAGGAGATAATTTATCGTCATCCTATACTTAATGAAGACGACTGTACAATATTTTACATAATAACGCCGATCAGGAACGACGAAGACGTGAAGGCAATGTTTCGGTGCCACATGATATTTGGTCAGTTACCTACAATTGAGTTGTATGTCCGACTACTAGACAATCCCGAAACATTTCCGACGCAAGAGACACAATCACACTGTTATGGAATGAGCCAAACATCCGACGACGAACTAACACAAAACAATCTACCTTTCATACCAAATGAAGAGGTTGAAGAATGAACTATATGTAATTAAGTGTAAGAAACAAGACTGCAGTTTCAAGTGCAGAGCTTCCTTGAGAAAAAGGAACTTAAAATGGGTGATCGGTAAGTTGTCTGGGTCTCACACATGCACTACGGCGTCTATGGCACAAGACCATAGGAAGCTCAGTTCAGAAATGGTTAGCCATAGCATCAGAGAACTTGTCAACCGAGACGCCTCACTTAAGGTAAAGGTGATCATTACCCATATTCTTGAAAAATACAGGTACATAATATCTTATAGGAAAGCATGGATCACTAAGTGCAAGGCGGTAGAGTCGCTGTATGGCAATTGGGAAACATCTTACAACGATCTACCACAATGGATACTGGTAATGAAAACCTTCCTTCCAGGAACCATTATAGATTTGCAAACCCTACCTGCAATTTCAAATGATGGTTCCCAAATATTTGGAAAACGAATATTCCATCGTCTGTTTTGGGCATTTCGTCCGTGTATACGTGGCTTCGCCTACTGTAAGCCCATTGTGCAAGTAGACGGAACTTGGTTGTATGGCAAGTACAGAGGAACTCTATTATGGCGGTGGCACATGATGGTAACGCAAATATTTTCCCAATAGCATTCGCATTGGTCGAAGGTGAAACAAAGGAAGCATGGAGCTTTTTTCTAAGGAACCTGAGATTACACGTGACACCACAACCTAATTTGTGTCTAATATCTGATAGACATGAATCGATAAAGAGTGCATACAACAATCCCGAAAATGGATGTCAACATCCGCCATCTTCACATGTCTACTGCATTAGACACATTGCTCAGAACTTCATGCGCGAGATCAAGGACAAGGATCTACGCAAAAAACTTGTTAACATGGGTAACAAAATACATTTCACTTATCTCAAGTTTTGTATCACACTTTTATTATATTTTTCACACATATTCTATTACAGGTTACGCATTGACGGAGGTTACATTTAATTACTATCGCGGAGAAATCAGAAGAACAAATATTGAGGCTTCAAATTGGATAGACAACATTCCTAGGGAGAAGTGGGCTAGAGCATTTGACGGAGGGCAACATTGGGGACATATGACATCTAACTTGGCAGATGCCATAAACTCTGTACTAAAGGCAACAAGAAACCTTCCCATCACTGCTTTGGTCCAGTCTACATACTATCGAATGGGTTCACTCTTTGGTAAACGAGGACACAAATGGACCAAAGTGCTATCTTCAGGGAAAGTTTTCACAGATGGTTGTAACAAAGGAATGGCTGATGAGGTAGCCAAGGCTAACACACACGATGTCATGCAATTTGATCGCGAAAGATTCTATTTCATAGTGCAGGAAAAGATTAACCACAACGATGGTCATCCAACGTGTATTTTCAGCGTTGACTTAAGGAGTCGTTTGTGTGACTGTGGAAAATTTCAAGCATTTCACTTGCCTTGCTCCCACGTGATTGCGGCATGTTCTAACATACGACATGACTACACAATTCACATTCCAGAGGTCTTCACAGTTCTTAACGTATTCAAAGTCTACAAGGAAAGCTTCCTGGGACTACCGCACGAGGAGAACTGGCCAAAATATGAAGGTTTTACTCTGTGCCATGATGATTCCATGAAAAGAAATAAAAAGGGACGTCCAACCAGTAGTAGAATTAGAACTGAGATGGACGACGCTGAAAAAGAGAAGAGAAGGTGTGAGATTTGCAGAGAGATAGGTCATATGCGTAGAAAATGTCCCAATGTTGCCGGTCCGTCAAACCGACCGCATAAATAATTTTATTGTACTAGTTTTGTATGTGATCCAACAATTATTTTTAATTCAAAACAACTTTCAAATTACAGCAATACTAGTAAATTACAAGCATAAGGTTAAAAATAAAACTCAGGAAGCTAACATAAACTCTAACCAACAACAACAACCAACACAAGTGGATCTGTGACTCCTCTGTTAACTTCGCCACTATGTGCTGAAAACATGCAATGGACATCTTCATCATTTTCTATACGATCCGAGTAATACATGTACGTACCCTCCGGGCTAGCATTAGTCAGCGTTATATACGGACAACGATACTCCATTTTTCTCACCGTCATGCGACGACCGCCTAACTGCCGAAACCCCGTGTTAATTGCTGCAACCACGGTTCTGAAATTCCATTGCGGATCTAGGTAAACACTGATTTTTTTTCTTGTCCATAGAAAACAAGAGTTTGGACAAACTTTTTATAAAACGGATCAATGGACACGAATGATAATTGCTGATGCGCAATACGTCTAAAAAACGTTACGTTTGAGCTCAGTCATTCAATGACCGAGATTCTGTAAAAACTTCACACCTCCATGTGCGAACATCAGTCATTATTTTTTTATTTTATATAAAATAAAATATAATTCAATTAATTTAATATATAATATTTTTTTAATTTAATATAAAATATTTTAATTAGTATTTATTTACTAAATTAATATGGTATAATATTATTTTTTTAAAATATATTATTAATTATTAAAAGTATAGTATTTATTTAAAATATATTTACTAAATTATTAAAATATATTATTAAACTATTAATTATTAATTATAATATTTATTAATTATAGTATTTAAAATATATTTACTAAATCATTAATTAATTAAAACAAAAAAAAAATTGCACCCCACATGCTCGTACGAGTAAGGCCTAACTCCAATTTCGTTTTACATACTTACCCAATAAGTGAACGAACTCCCACGGCAGCTAGGACATTTAAATAATTTTTAACATGAGACATTTTCGGATTTTGTATTTGGGGGCATTCTGGAAAAGAAAAAAAAGTCCCTTTATTTACCTAGAATCAAACACAAATTAAAGACATACTTGAATGAAAGAGTCTCAAACTTACAAGAAAGGAGAAGAATACTTTAACTAAAGAGGAACCATAACTGACAACCGAGCCGGAACAAGCAAGGACATCTGCAACATTATTGTTATCCATTTGGATAATAATCTTAAAATTGTTCTTTCAAACTCACTCTAACCCATCAAAACACCCCGTACTCAACCAAGAGACTATTACACTTGCAAAAAAATTTGTTATAGCCCCCAAACCAACTGCCAAACCTATCCCAAAAAAATCTCACAACTAACAACAAGATTGTCATTACACGCGCCAACCCGAAGGAGGGAGGGCACCGCAAAGAAATAGGATGCCTACTGTTTTATAATAAAAAACTTAATTTTCCACCAAGTGAAAAAAGAAAAGAAATATATATAGGAAAAAAAGTGTCATAAACCAAAATTCGCATGCTACGCACGTGTATCTTTCTTCCTAAAGAGCTCTGTTCTGAACTTGACCAGCATCATTTTCACATCAACACACCATGGCATTCTTGTTGAACAAATCAACCCTAGCTTCTCATTTTCGATCCACATCTCAGGTATTCATACTATTCAATTATACATCCAATCGTAATCATTTTCGATTTCATAGTAATTTTGAGTTTTTTTTTTCATCTCTGATTCGTTATTATCTTAAATCGAAACCAGAACACTGAATCGCGCCGTCAGTTCCATGTTGAACCCGGGACTCGTGAAAAAGCGGTAAGCTTCTACTTTTCCTTTTTTTTTGCCTAATTTCCCCTCGATTTAGGGTTTCTAGATGCTTTGCCATTCGATACAATGTCAAGGAAATCTTTTCCTTTTCTTGAAATTTTGTGAATTCGAAGAAGAACTTCACTTAAGATGCATAATCTGTATGAGTATGTTTTGTATCACTTCGTAGGCATCATATTTGTGATTTCTTTTATTTGCTGCAGCTCTTGGCAGAAGATTCGGCTCTCAAGCCATTCAAATCATATAAGCAGAGTGTAAAAAGGCTCAGGAAAATTGGGGATGTTTTAACTATTGTTGTTGTTGCAGGTATGCTATCTTTTAATCCTTCTTTTGATGCGGGTTTAGGGATTTGTGATTTGTGACAGAAAATTAGATGATTTTGATGTGAAGTAATGAAACCATGGCTTTGGTTTGTCATTAAAGTTTTCTAAAGTAGTCTGAAATCTGAAGCTAAAACGTTTGAGTGGGCCAATGTTATTAATAGTGTATGGCAGTTGATGGCCAAATAAGATGTTTGACATAATTAAAATCCTTATGGATTTGGAAATCCAGTATGTCTCTGTTGTTTAATTGCTAATACAAGATTACTTCAAAATAATTGGGGTTACTGAATCTCATAGATTATTAAACTTACACTATTTGGATATTTTCTAAAAATAATGCATTCTTGATACATGATATTATCACAGCCAGTTTATGATTGAATCATTTGGTCATTTTTCTTACCAAGTATATGGTTCTTTTCTACATTGATAATTTTCTCATATCTTAGCGGCTTCATTAGTCGAGCAATGTAGTCAGTTCCATAATTGTTGAAATTCTTAACTGTACATCTCAGTTGGTTTTGAAGTTCTACAATTGGGGCTTGGGTATTGTGGGGTGCTCAAGTCCCTCATCGAGTAGTATGAGGTACCCAGTCGAGTATTTAAGTGACATAGTTCTTCCTCCCTGATAGCTAGCTTTTAAGTGAAGGTTTTCAAGTGGTTGGATACTTATCAGTTGGTGTGAGTGATAGCTGGTTGCCGGTGGCTAGGGAAGGGCTACTTTCAGAAAGACTGGCGGGAAAGGCAGAGTAATCATGGTAGAGTGCAGTTCCTGAGATGTCGGTTTTCACAAGCAGAGCTATAATAGGGACTTGAATGTTATGGGGTTTCCAAGTCCCCAATCGAGTAATATCAGATGTTCGGTCGAGCATTTGTAGTTTATTTGTCCTTTAAAAGGTAGCTTTTAAGGGAGGGTTCTCCAAGTGTTTGGATACATAAGTCTGTTCCTATAATAATCACTACACCATTGACAAAATAACTTTGTATTTACTGCCGGTTAATATGTTTTAAATGTTCCTTACTTTTTTTGTAAGGAAAGGTTTTTCTTAAAGATGAATTCTCAGTTACTGCACATCGATGAACACCTTTCTCATCTTTTGACATTGTCTACAAAATAGTCAATGTTATTAGTAACATCAAAACAGCATTCATGATTGACAATTCAGTACCTAAATAGTTTTCTGTTTTATTTATGTGTTGTGTCACTTTTATGAAGTAAGTAATAGTTAATACCTTTTTGTGTTGGTCTAATATCAACTATTTTAGTTCATATCAAGTTAATACCTTAAAGATGAATTCTCAGTTACTGCACATCGATGAACACCTTTCCCATCTTTTGACATTGTCTACAAAATAGTCAGTAATAGATGTTATTAGTAACATCAAAACAGCATTCATGATTGACAATTCAGTACCTAAATAATTTTCTGTTTTATTTATGTGTTGTGTCACTTTTATGAAGTAAGTAATAGTTAATACCTTTTTGTGTTGGTCTAATATCAACTATTTTAGTTCATATCAAGTTCATATCAGGTTGTATATTGCCAATTGTGCTTTGACTAGGAACTGCCTCTATTTTTCTAGTTAATGCTAGAGTATGGTTTAAAATGGGTTAATTCAGATTTGACTTGTGCCATAATTTCCTTGAAATTGTCTTACTGTTCCATTTTTTAACGTTGTCTGTTTTTTTTTCTTTTTTTTCTTTCTTTTTTGATGTTTCAGGATGCTGTTATGAAATATATGTCAAGGCAGCTACAAGAGAAGAGGCCCGCAAACAATAATGTTCTGAAAGTGCAGAATGAGATGCACATTTGAATGCTAGTTTTCTTTACATTTTATTTTTATGGCAACAATTTGGATGTTATGATAGCCATGTTAGAATAAACTGAAAGCATTTGAACCCTAATTGCTTGTGCATGAGTAGATTTTTCACCATTCAAGATTTGTGCATTCTGATAATACTGATTGCCAGATCATAGTTGAGAGAGTTGTTGTGGAGTGTGTTGTTTATTGTAATTTTGTAGTCAAGCTTTCACTGTTCTATGAATCTGGTGATCATTTAGTAACTTACTGCTGAGCAAAGATCTTTTGCCAGTTTCTTTTATCTCGTTTTTTCATGTTTTGAAGGCTAGATTTCCATTAGTCTGTCTGGTCTTTATGAGAAGGGTGAGTAAATGAACAATGGTCATTGCTCATACTATCTCTTCAGTTGAGTTGATGTGGTTGGTGTTTTATTTTAAAACATATTGGTTCAATAAGAATTTTAAAGCAGATTACAATTTTACAAAAAAAAAAAACTTCAAAATATGGGTAGTTTTAATGCTGATTTGGATAATAGCAAAACTAAAGTTCACCCAATGAAAAGATAGCAGACTGAAATATTCAACTCATGAATTGTTCATATCTGATCAAATCTGAGGTACTTTTCTTTTGTATATAACTGCAATTGTGGTGGATTGACCACATTTGTATGCATTTTACCTCAATGTAAAATGTTCACAATGTAGCCAAGACTGCAACTACAATTTAGAATCTAGCTGCAAGCATTTCAATTTAATGAAATGAGTTCTTTACCATTACTTGAACCACAAGACAGATGATCAATCAGCACACACTGCAAGACAATTGCACCTCAAAAGATCAATGAAAACATGACAGGTTTCGTAAACATCGTGATATGTTGTAATCTCGTAGAAATTAGTAAGAAACTAATGTGTCACACTAATCACTATCTGACCACTGAATGTGAAACACGTGGTCAGTGTAATGGATGTTCTTATGAGCTAGTTGTGACAAATGACGATTATGATATTGATATTGAGTACAGTCAGCAAAGCTTTTGCTTTTTATTTTTGTCTCTAGCAATTCTCAAAATTAGGTAGACCCACCAACGACCAACAATTTACAATTACAACTGTTCCTTTTAAATTACTAGAGCCTGAGCTGTATCTTCCTCAAACACATTGTTTTTGAAAAAACTAGTACTAAGAAGAAAAATAAAGCGAGGGAGTGATGATACTTAATTGTAGCAAAGCAAGACAAAGTCTTCTCCTCATTCAAAGTCAAGTGAGATTCTGATTTGTTAAAGTGGAAATGACATCATTTGCAGGTACTACACAAAAATACAAGACATGTGAGAAGACACTTGGTGGAACAACTAACTACTGAAAGGGTTTTTTCAAAGGGTCTATAAAAAATCTTGCTTCAGATGTCACCACTGCAAGATACCCTAAGGTCAGAATTAAGGATCTAAATTGGTGGAACAACTAACTGCTGAAAGGGTCTATCAAAAATCTTGCTTCGGATGTCACCACTGCAAGATATCGTCAAGGTCAGAATTAAGGATCTAAATTTATTTATTGCAGTATCATAATCATCACGTTCTGGATAAAAAAAACTCAAAGAAAAAAATTTAATTATGAGCAGTGTAGTCAAGATTGAGTGTCGGGTCTTAAGATCTTACGCTCTTACGTGCTGAAGTTGCCTTTTAGTGCTACGACCTTAGAAAAATTTTTTTTCGTGCATTTTGTGGTCAAGATCGAGTCTAAATCTTAAAATCTGACGATCTTAAAATCTTACGTGGTGAAGTTACCTTTTATATGACTATCATGATATGAGAATACATAATATCTTAGATGATTAGACTTGTTTGTTAGATTTATATTTTTGAACTATTTTTTTGAACAAAGTCTTTTGAACTTGTTAAATTATAAAATGATAGTTGAGTTATTAATTTAATTGGTTGAATTTAGTGATTTATAGGTTATTTTGTTCATACATTATAATTTTCATGTTTTTTTGTGTGTATATGTATGTCAAATTACCCTTTTTCCCTTCAGTAAGATCTTAAGTGTCGTGCTACGATTCTAGTTTTACGATCTTTCACAGGTCGTCCGATTCTACTTAAGATCTCATACTTGACTACCTTGATTATGAGGCTTAGTCCAGAGTATCCATTAAATGGACCAAGAAATAGGTAGGATATAATCAAAGTCAAACAGTCAATGCTAGTTACTAAGACATAGTCCCTGTTAGCTCTAATCTACACGCCGGGTTAGACAAAAGTAGTTTTAACCGTCAACCATATATAACCCCTACCACGTGTCGTTTACAAGTATGATCTCACTCTTACTCGTATTACCAATTCCATTGTTTATTGACTTGTGCATTAAAGTACTAACTTTGTAGGTCCACCCCACTCCACCGTACCGAAAGCACTCGTCGTCGCCCTAGCATGCTTCATTCCCCTTACACTTATCATATATGGTCCACCAATAGAACAACGACGTTGTCTATGAGAAACACCTTATGATTAGGTTCTCCTGATTCTAAAGTTGTAACACCCCGTTTCAAAAAAAAAAATAAAACAATTAAATAAGCACACATAAGAGTATCTCCCACAACGGGATGTCACAATTCACACTACAATTCCACAAAACATTTTTTCAAATAATTTTAACTGAATTTTTCAAATAAAATCGCAGCGGAAAAGATATGGTCTGTCATAACCCAAAATATCATATACACACATCATCCATATCCATCATATGTACAACATTGGCTATCTGCCAAAATACATATCATCATCACACAACCACACATATACAAAAGTCAGATACGCCTCAGGGGCACACATATCAACATCAACAGTAAAACTCCCCAAAATGCCCCGGTGTTACGTATCAGAGCAGTCCTACGGAGACACCACAATCCAATAAGCTAAACACCTGGATTGTCTGTACTTCCGAAGAAGCACAGACCACAACAGCAATAAAGGGGTGAGAATCACGATTAAATAATAATGGTATAATAGTACATGAAATAAAAGGCAGAAATCAATAATAATACTATTTCATATACATATCATCCGGACTCTCGGTCCCACCGTCAACCACAATACAATCACTCTACCAATGCACTCACACAACTCTTAACATACGGTACCGACTCACAATCACGATGGGCACTGGGCCATCAACCCTCCTCACAGGAGCACATATCAACGATGGACACTTGGCCATCAACCCTCCACTCAGGGAGCACACCACACTGATGGGCAACTGGCCATCAACCCTCCACGATGGGAGCACCACAACAATACCGATGGACACCTGGCCATCACCTTCCAAAACGGGAGCACATCTCCGATGGACACCTGACCATCACCCTCCACAACGGGAGCACATCATCAATATCGATGGACACATGGCCATCATCCTCCTCACCGAGAGCACACCAACAATACCGATGGTCACTGGGCCATCACCCTCCTCAACGGGAGCACACAACCATATTCACACACATCATAGATCTAGCACACCAAGTGCAAACCGATCCTATGGATCCACCCCTCACACAACATATACATATACACGATGCACAAGGCGTACCGATCCCACGGATCCTCTCACGTCATAAAGTACCTACATAATAAGCACACACAGTGCGTCGATCCCACGGATCCATTCATCACACAACTTATCACATACCATGCACACAAGGCATGTCGGTCCTACTGACCCAAACACATCACATGACAACACACAATTGCAACGCATAATAAGCGTATCGATCCTCACGGATCCACTCACCACAACACACCAACAAAACGCACTCAAGGCGCCACGATCATACTGATCCTCACATCTCACACACATCACGCATACGGTACACACGTCTCACGTACCCATCCACACCGGTCCCTACATAACACATAATTCAACGATTATGCCACTTGCGACAAACGCCGGCCAAACAGCCCCACAACCTCCAACATACGCTCGCATCAGATCTCCAGCAAGCCTCTCATCACACGTGACCAACGAGGGTCCAAGTTCTCAGAGGAACAACACCAGACAGCAGCAAAAACACAACCTGCTATCGGGCTCGCTGGCGCATTCGCCCGACAAAGCCCCGCGGTGAACACTCACTGCCATTTGCCTGACGAAACCTCTGGCGAAGCCAGACAGAAGCTTCTGCCAGCACTCGCTGGCTAGTTAGCCTGGCGAAGGCTCGCCCCCCTCATTTGCCCAGCGAATACCTGCGCACACAGAAAAATTCTGCATTGCAGAATCGCCTCCCTCACCGATTTCGCCCGATTAAATCGAAACCCACTACCAACAACATAGTACAACTGAACTACGAGTCTATTTCCCGATTCTATCCGATAAAATGTATCATCTACTTAATTTACCGACTTCTGGCATAACTCCGAAACTACTCAAAAACCTCAAACTCATTCAACCCAATATTCTCAGCACATGCAAACGAATTGAACATCAAACAACACAACAATATCAGCATGCAATCAACATCAATCATCAAAGGATCTACGGGGATAGGGATTTCCCCCTTTCTACCGATTAATCATGTATTTACCAAATTTAACCGATTATCCTTCCCCCTTACCTCAATTCAAGCTTTGATGATGAACAAGTTCTTCAATCCACACGAAATCCGCTTGTTAGGTTGTTGTTCTTGATCGTCCTCTTTCTCTTGCTCAACCGTGTTTCTCCTCTTCTTTCCAATTCTATTTTTTTTTCCAAAATGGCAATGTTACCCCTCATCCCAAATAATCTTCTTTTTAATCCAAAATAAATAGAATTCTCTTAATTCTTTTAATTCAAAATCCATTTAATAACATTTTCTCATTTATATTAATATTAGCAATAATAATGATAATAATTAATAATCATTTTTACATTACTATCAATTATTACATTTTATCACAATTTATTAATATTATGAGTTCTTGGCCTTCCACGATAATTCTCAAAATACA